CACACAGTATATACATACAAACATATATATATGTATAGAGAGAGGGAGAGATGGGGGGATAAGCTATTTCAGTTTCAAACTACTGATACAATAGTTAGTACTTACTGTATAAAGCACATTTAAAACTAAAGTTTGCCAGGGTGCTATACATGAAAGTATAGGTTGCTCCATAAAAACAACTGTTAATAGAGGAGCATTTGGATGTTGTAGGTTTTAGGTTTATTGACAATAAGAGTGATATAGATGACATCCAACTTTATCCTCTACACAGGTATCAGGTTGTTATGATCATGTGCAACATTCTGACATTTTTTGCACTGAAACAAATGGCAGGCTTCCACACCATACAGTATGACCTTCCAAAACAAATGCTTACACGTCATTTCCGCTACTACTAACAACAGAGGATGACGTTAACGTAAAGGAAAAAAGATCCAGGTAGTACTTCAATTTAATACTGGTGATTTATTCACTGGGTATCATGTAATGGTCATTTTATCTCCAAAACAAATAAATTAATGGACAAACAGGTAGAACTGTCAGATAATTAACGGAGAAAATGGATGTAATGCAGCAAGGCCTTCAAAACCAAAGCACAATCAGAGCTGGTTTAATGCCATCCCAGCTGTTTAGACCCCCCAATATCGAAGTATTGATCAATAAATTGTGAAGCATTTTCTTTGTTGTTTGAAATGTCCAATTAGAGAATGCCTCCTTGGCATTTCTAGACAACTGATGGCTGAACTGCTTTAATGAAGTGTTAAAGTCAGCTGCTGCACGCTTACAGTGAAACAAAAAAATAGATCGAATAGACTGAAATGTCTTAACTAGAGCCTCCCCCCTCCTGTCCTGTATACACACGCACAGTGGGACATATAAAGAACACAAACTCACGTTGGGCGCAGCAAGAACCTAATTGGACATAAGTCCTGTCTTCTTTATATATACGCACGTGTGAGTGTGTGTGTGTGTGTGTGTGTGTGTGTGTACGTGTACTCACCTCTCTCCACTGTTTGGTTTCCACACCTTGCGTATAGAGCACACATACTGTGAAAAGGTATCAGATAGAGACAGAAAGTCAGGAAATATTGTGAAAGAAAGAAAAAAGAAAGAAGATTCCAAATGGGAATTCAGTGTGAGGGTTTTAGCTCCAGTACAGTGAACAAACAGCCATGGAACTTTGAGCAAAACAACAATTTCCCAAATCACAGGGCAACAGACAAAAACCACACTGACCCAGAGAGAAGGGGAAAAGATAAAAATGGAGCAGGCCAGGAGCAGTATTTTAAAAGATTGAAGCATCAGAGCAGAGGTGACAAAACAGCACAAACACTCAGACAGTTTCTACAACGTACTCACGTGGATCTGACTTGGAGAAAGTGTCTTTATCCAGCAGATTACTGGAAAATAAAGAAAGAGAAGAGAAAAGATTGTTACTCAAGTTGACAAATTACTTTCAAGGAGATCTAAAGTGTGTTTTTTTTTCATGAAGATGTACTCTCCAGCAAAATTTACTTTCTATCCCTCCATGCCAGTGACAGCCATGGCTGGAGGCAGTATGTTTTCAGGTTGTTTGTTCGTCTGTCCCGCCCATGCTCATGAATGCAATATCTTAGTAAAGGCTTTGAGAGAATTTCTTCAAATTGACACAAATGTCCACTTGGATTCAAGGATGGCCTGATTGGATATTGGTGGTCAAAGGTCATGATCACTGTGACCTCACTTCTGTCCCTTGAATTTGACTGATTGGCGGAGGCACGTGGCTGCAGAGCAGTAATTGTGGTTCTGATTATGCTGTGACTTTTGTGCATAGATATGTAGAGGATGTATCTTAAACAAAATCAAAAGCTACATATGTATTAAAATACCTTCTTCCTTTTCTTCTTTCAAAACCCCACCTACAGGTGCATTTACTCATTCTGGCTGAATGATCGAATACACTGAAAATTGATGGTGGCCAGTCCTTCATTTAAGAAAACAAAACATGTATTTTTCCATGCTGTCTAGAACGACACACGGAGTTTTCTGATCTGACCATATCAGCAGGATGACACAGTCTGTGCTTTTCACAATCACTGATTTGTTATTCCATGTGACAGTGGTATAGTTATTGTCAGGTTTAGGCTTAGGGTTAAATAAGTCCCTTGTTAGTGATAGTGGAGCTTAGTTGTCATGGTAACAGTAATGCACAATTGTGTTGTACTTTTAAAAAAAACATTAGCTGCCGACTAGAAGCAGGAAATGAACAGAAGTCTCCTGTATTAATGCAAATCAAACTGAAATCACATTTTGCCATTCCTTTATGTTATAAAAATATTATTAATGTGTTTAAGTGTACTGGGTGGTTTTGTTATTAAAAGGTTTGGGGGGGAAATTTCCAAATTGCTCTTCTTAGATGGCTGTAGGGGCGCGTCTGTGTTTGAGTGACAGCAGCCAGCAGGCTACCAGATTGCTGGTACTTTTGGGAATGAGAGAGAGTGAACAAACTTGCATTGTAGCTTCAAGTCACAGGTAGACATGGCATTGAAGAGGGAGCACCACACCAGCATCGAACCAGACAAAAGTGACATTGGCAGGTATGTTTACATGCTGGCTACTGTGCTCCATCCAAACAACTAATTAGGAATCCAGACTGTCACTCTTCTTGGGAGGCTTGTCTTACATGAGAACTAAATGAGGTTACCAAACTCCATGTACTAGAGTGATTAGGTGATTAAGGTGTCACTGTTCTGCACTAAAAGCTAACAGGAGAGCCAGCGAGATGTCAGTCAGAGTCTGAACACACTCTCACATTCAGCCAAGGTGTGTGCCATGGGCCTTTAAAGAAAATTTCACCAAAGAAACCATACTTTTGAGATCGGTTTTTGCTTGTTGCACCTGAAATAGTTCTTCAGACAGACTCTGTTAAGCCACACAGCTGTTTTCACTCATTTAGTTTTGGCTGGATCATCTTTCTGGTGACTCTCCACACCAGCAGAGTACCATGAACACACCACCAACAGAGCTATCCTTTACCTAGCTACTGCACATTAGCACTACAACTGTAGGAGCTCAGACAACAGATGCTGACTGGAAAAGACCCCTGACAGTGTTTACTTTTTTTAAGTGTGTGTGTGTGTGTGTGTGTGTGTGTGTGTGTGTGTGAGATGTATTAAGGCTGGAACATGCTTTTCTGGGCTGCACAGAAGCAAAGATGCCTGGGTGTCAGTGTGACATTCCCATGATGTTTCCTTTGTACAGATTTTGAGTAGGCTATGACAATTATGTTTTTTCTTTTTCATACAAAGTTGGATTGACTTGCTTAACATTGCAACACAATGCACTGCTGAAATTTGGAAGGTGTACACACTGGCTTCTCTGCAACTAACAATCAACGTTAACTTTGTTTCTTGTGTAGACCCATAGCAAGCAAGCAAAATTTATTTATATAGCACCTTTCTAAACCTATGTTACAAGGTGCTTTCCAGTAAAATATCAAAATAATAAAAATAAATAAAACCAGATAAAACACATCTACACAATAAAATAACAGCAAAAATACATAATCAAAACAAATACATCAATCAGTAAAATTGATAAAAGCCAGTGAGTACAAATGTGTTTTGAGAAGTGATCTAAAAACAGTCAGGTTCGGAGCAGATCTAATCTCCTGTGGTAGACCATTCCACAGTATAGGAGCCTGAACTGAAAAAGCTCGGTCTCCCCAATGTTTCCATCTGGACTTCGGTACTTCCAGGAACAACTGGTTAGAAGACCTAAGTGTCCTTTCTGGAGCATAAAAATCTGATCTAAAAGGGTGAATTTCATTTATCTGACGATGCAAATAGCAGACCTGGTCCACAAGAAACAACCACGCATATATTACCAGAAGTGTTTTCAGTGTTCCAGCAAGGCACCCCACTGATTCACTGAAAACTGTTCATGCTGTGCACAGGCTAAAAAAGGTTTTCAGTTTCAGGTTCTTGGCTCACTTGACACATGCATTACTTTCTTTGGTTCTGTGAGGTCAACTGTCATCACACAAGTTTCCCCTGCTTACTTTCATGCACTTTCCTCCTCTCTCTGTTTAATCTTGAGCCTTACAGTTTTTAAATGGATTTTTAAAAAATACAAAGAAATGTTAATCTCTCAACTTCCACACATGATTTGAGTGTCTATGTTACACCATCACGTTTGCTTGACCTTTTCATAACGCCTGCCAGAGGCCTCTATACCTAACACTGTTACCCTACTTACTGTCTTTTTCTCACTCGGTGACTTCAGTGACATGAGAGCCGTCACCTGAGACACCAAAGCCTGCTGCCTCCTCAGATTCACGTTTCTGTTTCTTGTTTATTTTATATGCAGTTTTTGTCATCATAAATCTTCAGCTGTGTTCTTTCATTACCCTCGGCCTATGTGAATCTTCTCCCTGTATTCCTTCCTCTCTACCTTTAAAGCTTTCAAGACCAATTTGAGAAAACAGTTACAGATTATAAAAGGGAAAACATGATATCCTGACATCTTAAGTTCTTCATCCAGTGTCAGAGCACACATAACTCTGATTTAAGCGTCATTCCATCCTAGTGAAAATTGCACTGCCACAATTCCAACAAAAGAAAGAGATTTTTAATTGTTTTTTACAGTTTTCAGTTTGCCATTCTCTCAGTAATATATTGTTTCTAATAACTGGATGCTGTTTAATTCATTCATCCCCCGATCAAAATACATTTTCCCTTACATTTGGACCCTTTACATCCACTAACCCACCCTAACAGCCCTCAGAGTGTACATTAGCACAGTGTGATGCAACAGTTCCTATTTATTTGAAAATGAAAGCTTCATTTTCTCTTTTATTTTATACTGCTAGCTGTGGAGCTCCTGGAGGAGTTTGTTATTTTTATCACTTCATCTAAAAATTATACATGTACTGTATCCCAATTAAGAAAGTGTGGGAGTTTATCTGCTGTTTCATTTGTTCTGTTTTTATATTTAGAGCTGTTAGATCTGGGCGCATCAGACCGCGTTTAATTTCCACAGCATCACAAATCAAAAGACACCAAAACATGCCAGTGACTATAAAGGTTTACATAGAGGGTGTTTACATTTTTCTTGTGCCTATAGATATTTTTGCTGTATTGACAACCACACACCCACTTCCCATACACGATCCTGTACATTTATAACAAAAGAGGAAATAAACAGTTGTCTCCCATTTTTAAAGACCCATGTTTTTTAATATGACATCACTGGAAGTGAGTACTGCTTCTGTCCTACAGTAATTACTACAGCCACTGGAGGGTTGCCTAATTTGAACATGTTCTGATAATAATACACCTTCTGGCCTAGTGGTAGGTGCAGTTTGTCCCTACTTAACCATAGTTATGGCTGGGATAACAACTTGTAAGGACAATTTAATGAAGTGATAATGACTCAAAACACCTATTCATACCTGAGAGCTAAGATTTTTATAGAAGCCATCTTTTATATTCAGTGTTTATACAGTAAATACTGCATAGTCTGTATCTCTGATCTAACCAATTATGATGGCGAGTGTATTCTGTCTGCCATTCTGCAAACAGTGCTGCTTTGTGTAGAACAGTTGTTACAGTCTGTGAGGAAAACTCACTCCTCTCAGTAGTTTAATAGAGACACATACATCATCCTTTTCCTGCTTAAGGGAGTGAGGGTGTTGTATACCAACAGCACTTTGGGCCATGAGCTCCTCTGGGAATGGTACAGTCATTACCCTAGAAAGATGACTGGTGAGGAAGATGGTGTTTTGATGCTTTAAATTCAATAACTTAAACATGATTTTCTGTAGAGTATGATAGATGAGCATTTATGTTACTATGGCCATGTACTTAAAATTCTTTAAAAGTCTTTCCAAGAAGGACGGTGTCCAGGTTTAAGCCCATGGGTAGCACACTAAGGTAACTTGGTGAAGAAGACAGTGATTCTATCTTATTGCAATAGATGTGGGTTTTAAATAGTCTCATATTCTGTAGAAAAGGATCTTTTTATTTCATGCCCCCACCCTTGGCTAGTTCACTTGGTGCATTTCATTGTGTCAGTGACACAAGCTACATATGATGGATGTTGCACGGTTGTCATGGTGTTTACCATCATCCAATAATTTGTTAGGCAAGTACATCTCTGAAATGAAAAGTTTTTAGAAATTCTATTTTAAAAATGAAAGGTTCCTTAACAATCAATGAAAGGAAAGCAAACAACGAAAGCACAACATAATTACAGTTTAAGTACATACTATTGTAATTACAACAGCAGAAAGAAGTGACAAGGCCAACAGAACAGATTCTACTTATTTACTATGAAGGGGTAATTTTCTACAGCTGCTGAATAATTAAAAGTATTTGGTCCCATTAAGTTATTACAAGCTTTTACATTTTGACAAGTGTAT